ATGTATAAATTTGTCAGCAGCATTTTATTGTTGATCTGCTTAAAGTGGAAATTATACTTGTTTTATTTTGGGCATTAACTGATGATTACTTTGATCTTAATATTTGATGTTAAACATAAAACATGCTCACTGTTGTTTTAAATGTTCTGTATAAAAACAGGAAATAATAATAATAGGTAAAATAGTTATGTCCTTTATTTACATAATCATTAGATTTATCATCATCATCATCATCATCATCATCATCATCATCATCATCATCGACGATGACAACAGTAAAATAAATAAAAATAATATTTACCATAAAATTATTGTTGTTTTTAAAAAAGTAAAACAATTTTTACAAATATAATTAGATTTATTATTAATATAATATAGATTTTGCGGCTTTATTAAGTAGAACCACTGAAGACGAAACTTGTTCTTTGAAATGTATGAACATTGTGTAAACATAAATATATTTTTTAATGATCTCCATGATATTCAGGGAACTGTATTATCAGTGGAATTTACAAATGTAATTCGAATACTTTTTATTTTTTAATGTAATGTAATTCCAAAAGTCTAACTTTTCTTCAGTTCTTCTGGATGTTAGTTTGGTTTCTGTTGGTTGTTTGCAGAATGTTTCTTTTTTGTAATTGTCTTTTTATTGGTTTTCCACAGAATGTTTCTTTTTACATGAACCTGAAACTGAATCAGCCTCAGTCGACCCACAGAGACGCTGATCCTCTGATCGGCTCCATTTCTGCCTCCAGGCTGAATTATTCAGAGCTGCTGCAGGTGAAAGCTGCATGAACACATGAACACATGAACACATGAACGCATGAGATATTTGAATTCTGAGATCAAAACATTTTCCAATGTTTAAATGGAAAGTGCTATGAATGTATAGATTTGTTTATACTTACATTTGAATGCTTTACATTTTGCTGATAATACCTTCACACATTTACTTAAGTAAGGTTGAAATACAGCAGTTTGATTTGTAGTTGAGTATTTTTAGGATCAATCAAATAATACATCAAATTACTTTTAAAAAAACATTTAATCCAAGTTAATTTCAGTAATAGTCAATTTCTCATAGAGACGCTGCTATAGGATCACTTATTGAAAATAAAATTGCTAAAAATCAAAATAAACATGAGCTGTGGTTACATGTGTCTGTGTACATACCGGAAGAACCAGCCAATCAGCTCCGTGGATTCACGCCAAACGTCCAATCAAAACATTACGTCAGCGTAACGAATATAAATAAAAGCGCGTGTGTGTGTACACCGGGTCACTGCAGAAGGGCGGGGCGGTCAGGAACCACTCGGATTTTATTTGACTCCGCTCCTCAACATTGGTGCTAATATTTAAAACAAGTGCACCACCGAATTTAAACTCTCCCCCCTGACAGCCAATCAGCGCCTCTCCACTAGCGGAACCGTCCAATCAGCGGCGCGCTGCTCTTTGTTGTTGGTGATGACATGAAAATATTGTTGTTGGAGCTGCGGAGCCTCGGCGGAGGGACACGGACGGACACACGGAACGGATCGATTCCAGCCGACGTTTCTTTTCTTTTTATTTCGGTTTGTCGGTGAAGCAGCAGCGAGTCTCCCGGAAGCAGCATGTCGGTGAATATGGACGAACTCCGGCACCAAGTCATGATCAACCAGTTTGTTTTGACGGCAGGCTGCGCCGCCGATCAGGCGAAGCAGCTCCTCCAGGCGGCCCACTGGCAGTTCGAGGTGAGTGAAGCCTCGGTCCGCCTGCTCCGCTCTGCTTCAACCCGCTGACTGTTTCTGAGCTCAATAAAGACATTAATGTATCCCGCTGTTGGTTATTTTCTGTCTTTTCCGTCCTGACTGCGACCATGCGCTCCTCAGACACCATCCTGAAGTTAGTTTCTGATTCGAAGCTTCCGATTCGGCAATTAAGGGAAGAGTTAAGGGAAACTTAACTAACAGAGACTGAGTTCTTGTTTATTCCACATTTTAACGATGTGAAAGTGTGTTAGACGTCCTAAAATAACAATCAGTGCTGTCCAAGACCCACTTTCACATCTGTGAAAAAGCAAACAAGAGAGATCACATTAAATCAAGTTTAGACGCAAAACCACTGACTTAGACGGTGTAATGTGGATTAACTTGCTCCTGAGAGGGTGAAGACTGTTTACCACACAGTGTCTGATCTGTGAAACATTTCATCTAAGTGTGAATATGCACTGAAAGGAGAACTGATTGGTCATTTGTCATGTAAACAAAGTTGGACCAGATCCAGTTTTAACCCTACTGTCTATAAACTGGACTGGATTGTCCTGCTGAGGATACATTTTCATGAAACCATTGATTTGATTGCTAAAATGCAAAAAAAAAGCTGCTTTTTGTTCAGACAAAGTATCACTATAAATAAACAGGTCAGATCTGGACTTGGTTATCCAAGACCGGCTACAGATTTGTGAACCCTTTATTCTACTTGTAAAAGTTTAAAAAAAAAAAAGAGAGATTTTCCTTTTTTTTCACAAGTGAACCACATTAGATCAGTTAAGGATCTAAACCACTAAACGCTGAACACGTCAGATCAGGACTTGATTGTTCCAGTGATGCTAAAGAGTCTCTGTGAAAATGCCCAAAAAAAGAAGAAGGGAATTTTCACTGCTTTCTTTAAATTCAGGCCATTTTCCACCGGGTCCAGATCTAAGGCTATTAATCATACACCGGTCAGATCTGGACTGGATCAGATCTGGACTGGATCATCTCTGAGACTCTGAAGAATCTTTAAAACAGTGTCTAATTGTGAAATACTGAGTATATGTAATAGTATCAGCTCTGGTCTAATGTGGTCTGTATGAGGGGAGGGGGAAGCAGTGGAAACTCCTTTTTTGCATGTTTACAAATAGAATATAAGTTTCATAAACCAGAACCTGTGTTTTAAAGAAGCTCTATGAACATGTCAGCGTGTTGTGGTTTTAGATCTGGACCTCCTTTACATGTGAATAAAAAACATTAACGCCTCACATTTTTGCATTTTCACAAGCACAATTAAGGTTTTACGGTTTTAAAAGTTGGTTTCAAGCAGCATTGTGCTTCACCTAAAATGTCTAACACGGTTTAAAATCAATAAAATGCGGGAAAAAAAGAGTATTTGTCTGTCAGCAGTCTGAAGTTCAGTCCCCTTAACTTTCCTCTTACCTGCGGACTCGGCAGCTGTGATTCAGAAACCAACTTCAGCTCCTCCTGCTGCTAGCTTTAGCTTTAGCGTTAGCCGTGAGGACGTGGTGTTTACATTCCTCAGGGCTCCGCCGTGTCATTGCTAAGCTAACCGCTGTGAGCTAAGCTAACCGCTCCTAGCTGGCTAGCTGTTAGCTAGCTGTGTGTTCTGAGGATTAAACAGGAAACGCTGGAGCCGCTCAGGGTTGATAGGTTAACGGCTGCTGAGAACAAACAGCTCAGACTGAAAACATGTTCTCAGTATTACTCACCTAATTGAAAACAGAGGCACGAGGTCACTGATATGTAGATTTAAACCTGACCATTACACTGTTTTCAAGTAGTTTTTAACCACATACATGTCACAGTGAGTTCAGACATCTTTATCACACTCTGAATTTATTGAAGCTAATTTACTGCTTTGCTCACGTTTTTGTAGTTTTCCTCGCTGGTTTTATATACTTTCATTTTCACGCCTGGCTTTGTTTTTTTGTTTTGTTGACTTCACCTTATCTCTTATTTGGGCTCTTCCTTGACCTTTCGTGCCACTGAAACTTGATCATCCTGCTTTTTATTTGTGTTGGTGTGTCAGAGGACAGTAGTATGAAGGGGTTCTGTAGTAAACAGTCAAACACTGGGCTGCATGTAGCTGCAGGTCAGTTTGTCAACACAGTAATAAATCAGCTCCTTACTGAAAAGAGTCTCGTGATCGGAGTGAGAACGTCAGGGGAACGTCAGTAGAACCTGAGTGCTGCTGAAGTGTTAGGATTCCTGTGTTAGCGGTGGGTTGACAGATAAACAGGTCAGACTTCAGCTCTGACATCGATCCGACTCTTGTTCGGTTATATTTAGCCCGATCAAGATGCTTCGTCCTTCCAGCTGTTCTCACATACAAACGCAAACCGTCTTCTGCTGTTCACACTTTATTAAGGGTTGGAAGACTTTCAGCTTCTTCACCACCATTAAAAAGTGAGAAATAAAACTCCTGAAACTGTGTTTTCCTTTGTTCAGATTACAGATTTGATACACAGAGTAGTACATCAATGAATAAAAACAGAAAAGCCCTGCAGATACCGTCAGCTGATCAGCTTCATGTAACTGCAAACGTTCGGGTTACAGAGCAAACCTTTGTTTTCTTGAATTAACCAGCAGCTCATTGAAAAATACTCACTGCTGCTCCAGAGACTCTTTTTAACCAGAACTGCAGCGAAAAGGCATTTTTTATTGTCGATAAGTTTTGTCAAAAAAATGTCATTTAATGTCACATTTAAAGCTCCATATCAGTGATTTGATACGTTTTTCCTCACAGACGACCATTTTACAATCGCATTTTCCTTCTTTTTGGAGTTTTCTATGCATTTTTTCCAACATTCCATCAATCAGAGCTGCAAAGAGTTTGATAATTAATCAATAAACAGTCGCTTAACAAACAGGCAGCAGATGGTTCCAGCTTTACAATGTGAGAAAACGCCGCTTTTACACACATTATTGTGACATTTCATGGCTTTATGATCGACATTTCTTCACTTTTTTTTAATCGATAATGAGAATAGAGTTTTTCACGTCATTCCTTGATCACTTGTTTGGTTCATAAAATGAGGATCAGTTTCCCAAATGTCTTGTTTTGTCCAAATATATTCAGTTTACTGTCACAGAGGAGGAAAGAAAGCAGAAAGTGTTCACACTGAAGAAACTGAAATCAGAGAATTATCTTCAAAATGAGTCAAACCGATTATTTCAATAGTTGCTGATTAATTTAATGGTTGACAAACTCGACACGTTTAAGTTCTGAAATCAAAACACAACAGTTAAGGTTTAGTCGACAACATTGCAGCAAACATCTACTGAAGGATAAAACCGATTTCAAACTTGTTTTTTTTTTCGTGAGCTTCTGAATCTGAACTAAGTTTTTAAAGGTTCAGAAGATGTTGTCGGTGTTTTCAAATAATCTTCTGGCACTTTGAAACAGATCATTTAGAGAAACTTCCTACGAAGGCCAAACCCCGAGACTGTTGTTGTACCATCAGGCCTGTTGACACACCTGAAGGAAGTCGGATTGAAGCTTCCAGAAGTTTCCCGTCAAGCCACACCTCCCAACTGTTGACACACTGAACTGAGTCACCGTCTGTTTGGGTTTTTTTTTACAACAATGAATCCTCAGTGAAGCACAAATGTTAAACTTCAGCTTCTCTCATGTGACAATTTGCTGCTTTTCTTCAGTGAAGCGGGACTTTGTGTTTGTTCGACGCACTTTGTTCTGCCTCTGAAGTGACTCACTAACCTTTGTGTTACCTTGACAACAAAACAGCCGAACCCTCGGAGGAAAAACATCTGACTCTAATTCATCAGTAGAAACACAAACTGAGTCGACCTGATGCTCAAATAATCGTTTCTTTGTTTCTGAGCTGCAGCGTTTCTGCTTCCAGCTCGTAAAATGATTATCTTTCACTTCTGCACCATAAACGTTTCACTATTTTATTACTTTTTATCTGCCGATGAAGCGTCTGAACGCCCAGAAGCTCGTCGGTGTTTCATTTTTCCTCACTGTGGCTCATTTTTCACTGCAATACAAAGTCCTGCTCCTCTATGGAAACAGTACAGCCAGATTCTCAGATTCTTTATTTTACAAAAGTTTGAACAACAAAACCTTGAGTCAACAAAGTTTTTCCAAGTTTGACTCCACATATTGTAGATATTTAACTATTTACACGTTGAAGCTCTTGTTAAAGCAAACCGGGGAACTTTAAATAAAGTGGTTTTGATTAAATATCAGCAATATTCGAAAAGGTTCAAGGCCGCTTTTCTTTGTATTGTTTGTCTCAGTAAACTGAAGATTACAAGGTTTTAGATATTGATTTTTAAAAAAAAAAACAAAAAACAGTATTTTTCCTCAATTTTCTGATATTTTACAGACAAAAGATAAAAATCCAGCTGCAGCAGTTTTTGTATTCTACTCAGAAACAGAAACAGCACAGAGATATTCTTAGAAATGTAAAGAAGTGAGGCCTAGAAACTCGTACCCCGTTCACACATAGCTGGGTATTTACTAAAACGGATCTACGTTTTCAAAAATAACATTGTTTTCAAAAACATCTACGTTTACACAAACCCGCATAAACACGTTGTTAAGAGGTGCTATGAGCTGCCAAACCTATAGGGGGCAGTGTAACGAGAAGCATGAAGCCATGCTAGCCAATCAGAATCCTGGAAAAAACACAACAACGAATGGCACGAATTACTTCCTGTTACTTCAGCGATAATGGCGCGAGGGTCGTTTGTTTGGACCAATAGAGAAGTGGAGCTGCTTTACCAGCATCCATTTCTATCACAGCAGCCAAACTGTACACATGGTCGCACACATATGACGCTGATGACGCTTTTGTCGCATACAATGACGTTAAACTCCGTCTCCTCCTGTCGACATGCAAACGTAAAGATGGAGTTTTTCCACATCTCCACTTTGTTCGGAGTTTTCAGATGTGATCGTTTTGGGTGACTTGTAGCTTCGTTTACGTGTGAACCAAACGCTTTGAGATATCACCGTTTTGTAGTAAACGGGGCCTAAACGTGCCTCCACCTCGCTGGATTAATGAAGCTACAGGAGTCACAGCTGTATTGATTTATTACTGAATGTTTTCTGCAACAGCTGAAAGATGAATTTTCGACTATTATTTTTAGAAAGGTTGTGTGACTGCAGCTTCTTGACTGCAAATGTTTTCTGGTTTCTTTCCTCACTTGTGACAGTAATCCGAATATCTTAGTGGACCAAACAAGACCTTTTTGTTGGTTGATTCGTGGATTTATTGATCAACAACTCTTCTGATGGCTGCTGTATCCTCTGCTGCTGTTTCATGATTTCAAAACATGAGAATTTGACCCTTTTTTACATTCAAATGAAGGTGGACTAATTTGAAAATGCAACTTTTTCTCTCAGTTTTGACGTCTGTTTCGACTAAAGTAGTTAGAAAACCTGTAGATGTCGGCTCGCTGTTGTAGTGTGTAGAAACGTGGGTGTTTTGTTGGTCTGTTGAACTAAACCAGATGGAGGAAGAAGAAGAAACAACTTAAAACACTTTGCTGACATTTTACTTGCTGAAAACTCCTGAAATAAGCTCAGTTTCTGTTTGTTTTCTGGCTGAAATGCTTGGAAGACAGTTTGCAATCATCGTCTCTTCTTCTGTGGTTGTCTGTGGTTTGCTCGCGTGTTCTCTGAGCGCGCTCAGTAGGAGTCACCTGTTGTCTTCGCAGAAACCCCTGAATGTCAGTTTTGCTCTTTCTGAAGCGTAGTCGGCTTTAAGTGGACGTAATCTGAACATGTTTGGATTTCTGTCTTTTGTTTTGACAAAACTAGAGAGTTTAAGGCGTCACATTAATCCAAGGAAACAGATTAAACCAAAAAATAGTTTAACTGATCAGGAGGTTGGAGGAGTAAAAGAATCAAACAGTTCCTCTGTTTGGTGTGTTTCTGCCTGATAAACCATCACTTTCTCATGTTAAACGTGTGTTTTTTAGAACACAAGCTGCCTTTGTGTGTCCCTGCTCTCAGTGTGAGAACGTAGTAAGAAGCCTTTTGTTTCTCTGACAGCAGCGGCCTGATTTCCTCACTGAGCCTGAAGGCACCTCGTGTCCCAAAGCCTGAAACCAACAGTGCAACAATAATATTATTGTACAGTCGTGACTCGATAATCTGACCCTTAACAATCTGAAAACCTTGCTATCTGACAGGTTTTTAGGAAAAACGAATGGAACCCATGAAAAACAGCCTTAACATACCGACAGCCTTGGATTCAGACTCCAGCATGACATTTTATGTCACTAATCAGGATAACAGCGTATTATCTGACTGAACAATCCACAGATTGGCTACGTTCACACTGCAGGACTTAATGCTCAATTCGGATTTTTTTGTGAAATCCGATTTTTTGTGAGTTCGTTCACATTTCCAATTAAATGTGACTTGTATGTGATCTGCTGTGTGAACTTCATACGACCCAAAAGTGTCCCGCATGCGCAGAAGAGGACACGATGACGTCACACGCAGCGAGTGTGCTCAGTGTTTATGGAAGTAAACATGGATGGTGGAAACAGAAGTGTGACCTCTAACTAAACTAGCATCAGCAGCCAAGTACTGCCTGTGCTTTCTGGCCACTTCCACCCTGTCGGAGCGTTCCCCCGAGGTGGAAGTGTCCCCCGACTGCACTAAATATTTGGATATTCATCATTAATTGGGCCTGAATATCCAGAGACCAGAAAGTGCTACTGGGACCATCCCTACTAGTTATTATAACAACTATAGACAATAAATATTAACAACAAATGACCCTTCCAGCATCAAGCCCTCCTTGTATCTTGACCTCCGTCTTGACAATCCGACAGCTTTGCTATCCGACATAAAAGAAGGTTTTACATTTAGTGTCAGATTATCGAGTCACGACTGTATTTAGATGTAAAGGACAAAGCTGCAGCAACATTATTATTATATTTATATGTGTAAGAAAACACCAACGTGTTCGACGTCTGGCTCAGAGCAAAGCTGAGCCTTTAGTAATATTTTACGTTATTAGTAGTTTGTCACTGAAATAACATGAAACACAGATTATTATGTGACTGAGTGTTTAAAAAGGACTTTATAATCAATCACACGGTCAGAAGTCTATTCAAGTAGAACTGATGTTTTATTTCAGTCGATAATCGTTGACATTTTTTGTATTTTAAATTATTTTAAATGGCTAAATTAAAAACTAACTTCTTAAGGCTATTTATCAGAGTTCACAGATGATGTTTTTAATATTAACGCAACAATAAAAAGTACGAATAGTCTTCATTTAATTAATCTGCTGATTATTTTTTTTGACAGTTTATACTATTTTAAAAAACAGCAATTATCAACTTTTAAAAGGCTGCAAAAAATGCATTTCTACTATTTATTACTTAAAAACGTGACAATTATTATAAAATATTCTATATTTTTTAGATTTATCAATGAATGCTTTGTTTAATAAATGTCAGATAAAGAGTTTAGCGTCATATTGGACTAAAGAAACTAACAAATGATTATTATTTAACCTGCTGGTTATTTTTGATTTATTGATTAATCTTAAGACTTCACTGTCACATTGAAAATCCAACAAATAATCCCTCCTTAAAGGTTAAAAAAGGGAAATTTTGGGGTTTTACCTGGAAATTCTGATTGTCGTGCTGCAACTAGTGATTACTTTTATTACTGATTATTGTAAAGGTTATTTTCTCATTAAAAATGTCGGACACAGTGACATTTTTAAATATTTAACCGTCCAAAACCCCAAATCTTCAGTTTACAGTGTGAAGGTGAAGCCTGAAGTCTTTACATTTGGAGGCTGTGAATGTTTGACTTGGTTTGTGTTTGTCAGAGCAGCTGCTGATTCATTCAGTCAGTTAGTGTTGGGTGTTTTCATTCTGAGCGAACGTAACCGCAGATGATACTACCGAAGCGCCTCGCTTCCTCTCTGCAGCGGTTATTTTTAGGTTATTTGTAGGTTTTTCTCTCTGCTCTTCTTAAAGTGCCAGTGAACGCAGCACGACATGTGAATAAGCCGAACACAAAGAGCAGCGAGGCCTCGACAAAACGCTTCCTCACTTTGACATGCCGGTCACGTTGTACGACAGAAATTCCTGCACAGACACGACTGTTGTCAGACGACTAGGAGGAGGAGAGTTCATTCGTTCATTCATTCATTCATTCAAAACAAAAACAGATAAACACAGAGGCCTCCAGAGAAACTGATGAAACACTTTCCTACTGTTGCTACAGACAGCGAACGCACCACAGACTGAATATTTGTTATTTTCTTCGACTGTGAATCACGTTGACGTCAGTTTTTCAGGAATGTTTTGTGCAGGAAGCAGCAGCTCCGTTGTGTTTCTCAGTCTGTTGTTTCAGTTTTCTCAGGTTGTTCCGAGTGTTTTTGTTCACGTTGACCTCGACTTTATTCACAACAAAGAGGAACAAAACAAGACGTCGACTCATTTCCTTGTTTGCTCAGCGAGGCGGCCATGAAAGCTGCTGTTTACAGTTTACGTCGCTTTTCTTCTCTAGAAAACTGTAACGCTGTTCATCTGTTGTATCTACTGAAAGCAGACAGATTCAGTTCACAGTTCATGTGCTCGCGGGAGAGTTTAGTAAAAACTGTTGATGTTCTGTAGAAATTGGATATAACTGGGATATAAATGTCAATAAATTCCTGTACTTGTGTAATATAATCCCAAGCCTGGATATGAAATCTTATCCTACGTGCCTGTAACTCAGTAAAAATCCTCCGTCGGCTCTGTGGAGCCTGTTTCAGATCCCAGTGAGGAGATAATAGTTTTAGCAGGACAACAGGATGAAAGTGTGCTGCATGTTTTTACATCAGTTACAGTTGAGCTCTTGTGTTTGTGTTTGTGTCTGCAGACGGCGCTGAGCTCCTTCTTCCAGGAGGCCAACATCCCCAGTCACCACCACCAGATGGTGAGTTCATTCATCCTCCTGAAAACGGAGCAAACTTCAGACTACAGACACGTGAACCCGACTCACTGCGGCAGCTTTCACTGTTCTGTTCAGGTCCTGATGTTCTGATCAGTGATCCATTCACAGCTCCAGACATTCACGAGTTAACCGGCTGTCAAGCTGACAGATGGGATGTTAATGTCAAGGAATCCAGGAAACAATCTTATGAGGGTCTGTTGTTGGTTTTCCACCATTCTTTAGTCGCTTTCAGTATTAAAAATGATTATGTTAGGGCGCCCCGAAAGCTCACCTAGTTGAGCGGGTGACCCGTGAACAGGGGCTATAGTTCCCTGACGCAGCGGTTGTGGGTTCGACTCCCGCTCACGACCCTTTGCTGCAGGTCTCTCCCCATTCTTCTCCCCCTTTCCTGTCTATCTCTACTGCTCTAAATAAAGGGAAAAAAGCCCCCACCAAAAAAAATATTTAAAAAAATTATGTTAAATTCAATTCTGTGTGGCGTTGTGTGTCCAGAAGAAACGTAAAGTGACACAAAAAGATGCAAAACTTTAAATAACTGAAATGGGACAAAACTGCCCTAGGGACAAAAACAATACACAGAAAGACACAGAACAAGAAAAATGAGACACAAAATGACAGAAGCTACACAAAATACAAGACAAAGTGACCACAAAACAAGAACCGAGACACAAAGTGACAGAAATGAGACAAAATTGTCCCAAACAGACGTGAAACGACACAAACGAGACACAAAATTAAACCAAACAAGAAAAATGGCCCTCGATGCCTCTGGAGGTGGAAGCAGCTGTGTGGCGGTTGATCTTCACTCTGCAGCTTGACTTTGGTCCACATGAGGCTTCAGGCGACGAGACGTCACCGTAAATAAATCAGAGAGGAGCTGCAGCACCAACACAGAGCTGCTGCTGCAGATGTTGGATCAGACGAGTCCCAGGATGCAGCAGGTTATTGTGTGAAGCAACAGGATTATATAAGAGTGTTTAACTCCAACAGTCTGTTAATGAATCCTAATGATTACATCACTGAACACACCCGTCAGCGCTGAAGCACCACAGAAACACCCAGAGATCAGTGAAGACGATTAAAACGGACACAGAGAGTTGAGTTTTCAGCCTCGCAGGCTTTTGGTCTTCGTCAGCATTTGAAATAAGAAGCTGAATTTAAACGTTTTGAAATTTAAAATATGACTAATTAATAACCAAAGTAATTTACAGATTAGAATAGTTGATCAATGAATCGCAGCAGCTCCAGTTTTTACTTTTCAGTTTTGTCCTGATTAAAGAAGTGAGTCACATGATGGTCGTTCATGAGCTTCACAGCTGCAGGTTTACGTTTATTTATCGTTAATGTCTTTGTGATCCACTCGTGTGTTTGTGTTGCTGGAAGTAGTTTGGTCTCGGTTCAGAATCTAAGTTTAGCTGCAGATCCTCTCACAGTTTCTCTTCTATTTCTGGCTGAACCTGATGCCGCTGTTTGTTTGCTTCAAATCACTCTTTAATTGATGTTCTCAGAGGACTTTTGGCCTTTAGCGGCGACTCGACTCACATGGAGGCTTCAGACCGACGGACGATTCTGCTTTTATAAACGCTGGTCGGATGATTGAGCTCAATTCACCCTGAACATCTTTTCTATATATGTTTATGTCTTTATATGTTTTATTTCTATCAGCTTTCATCCCTCTGCTGCTGCTGAAAGTCACATCGATCATATTTTTGAAGCTACTTCTCAGATATTTACTTTCATGTTTCAGGAAGTGAATAAGCAACAGAGAAGACATTTAGAATCACTTAAAACAAACAGAACGGCAACAAAAAGACACAAATATATCAAGAACAGATGAAAATGAATTATTCCAACGAAAAGACCAGACAGAGATTGAAGAGACACAAAATGAACACAGAGACACAACAACAGCAAAACACAACAAGTTAGTCAAAACAAACACAGATAGCCATGACAAAGAGACACAAAGTCAAAAACAGATAAAAAAATGAACACAAATTATTTCCACATGACCAGAAAGAGATTAAAAGAGACATGAAATGAACATAAAGCAACGTAAACAGACAAAACCACAGAAGAAAAACTCACGGAGCCACAAAACATCAACGGAGACTCAGACTGACCACAGAGAGACGACTCCTCACCATGTTGGTGTTTCTGTGTTTTGTTCAAACCGATGGACACAAAGTCGACTGTGAACTGGTTTAAACTTTTGTCATGTGGTTTTTCTTTGATTGCTGTAACTGTGATAGTGTGTGTTGTTTGTTGCAGACTCAGTTTATAAATTCCGTCTGTATTAAGAAAACTCCTAAACTTTAAATTTAGCTTTAAGTCACTATTTTCTGTGTGTGTGTGTGACTCATGATTTTCAAAAACAGACCAACATTAAGGTGTGAACAGCTTCATGATCCTGCAGCAGGAAAACGGCCTCATTAGCAGCCTGGCTGATTATCAGGGCCGATATAGTTGACGAGTTAAATGTGCAGGTGTGATGCAGCCTCCTCTCTCTGTCTGTCGACACTCTGTGGTCTCAGAAATGTCTCAACAGAGACTAAAAAAAACTGAACAAGAAACACAAGCCGATGCCACAAACCAGGAAATGAGTTCCTCTCTCAGTGGCTACGCTAACGGCTAGCTGCTGAGGTAGAAATGACTTCTTCTTCTGTGGTTCTGGTGTTAAAGAAGCTCTTCTTCTTCTTCTTCCATCTCCTCCACAGATGGTGACTCCCAGAAACACTCCCGCCACGCCACCCAACTTCCCCGACGCCATCACCATGTTCTCGAAGCTCCGGGCCTCCGACTGCAGCGCCGGTTCCTCCCAAGCGTCTCTGGCCTGCTCCCCTCCGGCTCCGTCCTCCACGTCGGGCTTCGGCTCCTTCTGGGCCTCGTCGCCGCCGAGCCACCAGCCGGCCTGGCTGCCGCCGTCCTCGCCCACCGGACACCATCATCACCATCACTACCATCATCACCATCACCTGCCTCAGACGCCCATGTGGCCGCCGGCGTCGCAGCCCAGCGGAGCTCAGCAGCCGCCCGTCGTATCGGCGCTGCACGGACAGAGATGAGGCCGAGCGGCGGGACGGAGGCCGAGATTAACGGAGGGATCACCAGGAATAAGAGGACTCCGCTGTTTAGTGTTTTCGGACTGAAGAAGAGACTCGAACCGAACCGAGCCGATCTGGACTCGACAGGAGAGCAGCCATGACATCCGTCTGTGATCTTTGTTTTATCTTTTTGTAGAAACTCTGGTTTGGTAGAAATAATCCGGTGAGCAATAACCAGCAGACCAACAGGACGAAGAGACGCTGAAGAGTTTCCATCTACAGCCATAAACTCTGCAGAGGAACCAGTTTGTGCTTCTCATCTCAACAGTTTGCTGAAGGTTTTCCTGCATCTGCATGAAAAATATTCTGTCTGCTGCACAGATGTTTGTTAAAACATCTGCTGGAAACGACAAACTGTGTGTCTGAGCTCAACCAACCAAAATTTTAAGTAAATTTTAATCCTTTTTTTAAGCCTTTCCTGGTGTTTTTATTTGTGTTGTGTGCACTGGAGCTGAAAGTGTTCAATTAATCCAAGCACATTTGAAACTTTTTTGTCACATTTTTGCTGTTTTATATGAGTGTTAACTAAATATTTTGGTGGTTTTACAGAAAATGACACATTTGGGGGAAACTCAAAGGACTAAAAATCAATTGTAGTGACAACTATGCAACTAGATCTGACCAGAAATGAAGAAAAAAAACAAAAACAAACTCCAACTGAATCATACATTACTGACATTTACTGTAGAATAATGTTCAAACAGTCCAACTTTTCTATTTTTTCAGGCTTTTCAATGCAACATTGACGTAATTTAACACTATATTGAATCATTTTATGTAAAAATTCACCTAAATCATCAGTTTCTGCAATACAAGAGTCAACTGGATGATTTCTGGGTGCAGCTTTTACTGAAGAGGCAATTGCGACGTTAATTTAGGACAATATAATAAACTTTAATTGCATTTAATGGAGTTAAAATGCGAAGCTAATTATTCTACTGCAGACAAAGAGCTTGTTAAAGACGTTAATGTGGGAAAAACTGTTTAAAATGTTCTTGAGTCATTTCTGGCTGCCGCTTTGTTCAGACTTTGGAAAGAACTCGGAAAATGTTTTAAAAATTGTGCAGCAGATGTGATGTTTTCCATCCAGATGTTCACTGAGGATTTGTTGCTAAACCAGCAGCTGGTTTTTCTCTGATCAGTGGATATAATTTCACATTTTGTACATTTTAATTGTGAGAAGTGCAAACTGGGGTTTGGTTGGAAAATGAATTGTAAAGTGAAAGTTTGCAATAATTTGATTATGTGAAGCAGAAAGAAGAGAAGTTCTCTGTTGTAAATAAAAGCCAAAAGATTTGTGTGGACGCCACAGAAACAGGTTCAGTCTGGACGCGTTCTGGTTCCTCCGTCGGGTTTCTGGGAGGATTCGAGTCCAACTCAGTGATTTTTCAACAGAACCTCCGAGACGTTTAACCGCTGATACCTCCAACCTGAGAGAGAACCAGGAGGTGATGAATCTGAACCCTCAAACTGTGGAAAAGAGACGTTCAGCTCAGAGATATTCTGGATTCTGATCCTCACAGCAGACAATCAGCTGTTTCTGAACCGTTTTAAAAGTTTTATTGTTTGTTTGGGGAGTCGAGCTGCGAAATCGTAGCTGATGAGATTTTATTTTAACTCAGAAATGCATCAAATTGTCTATAAAGACGACAAATCTGCCCTCAAACACCCGAACACTGGGTTTAATGTCTGGTTTTCAGGGATATTGTGACTAAATCTGATCACACAAACACGTTTAATGTTAATTAAAGAAGAAGTTTTACTTCTTTAAACGCTCAGATCTGAGTTTCTGCAGCTTTAACACAAACACTAAACACTTTTATCCATAAATTAGAGTACAAGTAAGAAACTCTGGGATTATTTTTATTTTTTCTAACTATAGTAATCAGGTAACATCTTTAGATTTACTGTTTTGAAAAGTTTACAACTAAAAGGCTGCAAGAAGTCTAAATTCTGTGATTTTAGCTTCTTAAATGTGAATTTTTTTCTGGTTTCTTTCCTCCTCTATGAGACAAAAATGAATATCTTTTGACAAAACAAGACATTTATCATCTTGGGCTTTGAGAAAAGTCATTTTAGTCATTTTTCAAAACACACATTGTGATAAAAAGTGAAAACTTCTGAGTTCCAGCTTCCCAAATATGAGGATTTGTTACGTTTCACTAATGTTTTCGGGGTTTGAGGTTTCAAAGCACGGGGTCTTCTTCACCGTTTTCTTACATTTTATAAACCAAACCTCTAATCAGCTAATCTAGAAAATAATTTAATGACTTGAGCAATTTAGGTGAATAAATGTAAAGCAGCAGCTATTTATTGTTGATTCGAAATAAAAACAATTAGCTCTTTGCTTTTAAAATCACTTCACATTGTTTAACAATCAGTTATCACAAGGGGTTTTGGTGTACTGACAGATCTTTGCAGCTCTGATTGGTGGAAAAATAGATATAAAATTCCATAAATATGGACGAGATTGGCTGCAAAATGACCAGCAGTGATGCACAATGTAGAAAATGTTCCACAAAACGGTGCAAATGTCAAAGATATTCAGTTTTTAAATCATCTTTGAGAAGTAAAATCAGTTGTTTGACTAAAAAAAAATAGTGAAATTATAAATTAGGTACTCAAAAAAGCTAATTATTTTTGCAGCAGTGTTTTTGACTTTTAGCAAATCAGCTAAAACAGCGACATGGTTCTTTAAATATCTGTGTTTGCATATCTGGATCAGCGGTTCAGTATTCTGACAGCTTGTGGAATGAAGCTGTTGAAGCTGTTTTAGTGAACTCTCTGATGACGTTTGCAGAATAAAACAAACATTTATTGATTGTAAAGTGACCTCCGGCGGTTTGGTTCTTTAAATTCATCAGTTCTGTGTTTTCTGAGGGCAGATTTCTCGTCTCAGATCTGAAGTCTTAAGTCCTGGTTGATACTAAACTCCTCCTGCAGCTCTGATCCTGGTTCTGATTCTGAGTTTCTGTCTGGATTTCAGCTCTGAGGGATTTCGGGTTTCTTAAAAGTTACCTCCCATTCGTTATTTTCAGGCTCCTCACAGTTTGAATCTGCGGCTCTTTTATAGAGATTTGTGTTCATTTGCTCTGTTGAAATTTGTATTTATATGTTTAATAAAACCAGTTATGATCTGCTGTGGTTTCCTCGGCGTCTCTTTACTTCACACTCAGTTTGGTTTTTACTGTCAGAGATGAAGTTTTTCTCATCAGTGAGGAAGGATGTGGTCCAACTGATGTTTCTCATCACGTAGCGCAGAGTTTAACTGTGATCATACTGATGCTGCTGTTGCTTCAAAAAACACTGCAAAGAATCATGGGAATGATTAAAGACATAGTCACTGCTGCAGCTGCTCCAGATAATAACAGTGAGTCATTATATTGCTGCTCAGATTCTGTTGAGTCTTTTTAAATGTGTTGGGATGAGTTTTGAGAAATTCTGTATTTTGAAATTGTAGTCCCGCCTCTGAAGCCATTTCAAGGGTTTAATATGAAAGTAGATGAAGCAAAACTGCCCCAAAGAGACACAAGATGATCACAAAGAGAGAAAACTGTCCCAGAGACACACAAAATGACAAAAGGGAGAAGAAAAAAAAAGACAAACATGAGACAAAACGACCACAAAGTCACAAAACTGTAGAAATGTGTTCATGTGGGACCCAAAACTGAGTTCTGTGAAATATTTTGAGAATGTTTTCAGACCTGAGAATTCTTCTATTTTTACTCCCCCAAAATCTGTGAAGCCATTTTTAGGTTTCGCCAGAAATGAAACTCATACAGCCATGAAATGTGGTGAGGACACACACGTAATAGTTTCCAGCAGATCACAAGGATTGAATGGATCCAGCAGAGGACACTTAATTACAGGACATAAAAAAATAGAGAAAAGGTGCAGAATGTTCAAACTATGGTGGTATTATGTCCCCAGAAATATCGAAACACTGACGGGTTTATTTGGTGATATTCTGTACATCTCCCACTGTCAACTAACAAGTCCACTGGAAACATCATCTATACACCGCTTAATCCTCACTAGGGTCATGGGGGGCTGGAGTCTATCCCAGCTGACTCAGGGTGAAGGCAGGGGACACCCTGGACAGGTCACCAGTCTATCACAGGGCTACACTTAGAGACAGACAACCAAGCACACTCACATTCACACCTACAGACAATTTAGAATCACCAATTAACCTCAACATGTTTTTGGACTGTGGGAGGAAGCCGGAGTGAAAATAAATGCAATTATCTGTGAAATACATAAATAACACATTTTAGTTGAATATTTAAATAGATTTCGCTAAATACAGCTAAACTGCCAAATTTATGGTCAAACATTGTAAAAGAACAAATTACAATTTGCAAAAATACAGATTTATGATGTGGATGTTATTTACACTTTTGGCATTTTTATCGTGTGTTTTTTTTTTTGTTTTTTTTTTTACAGGTCAACTCTATAAAATAACAGTTAAAAAATACCATTTTTGAAGCCTTAAAATACTTCATTTTTCGTTCAAATATTGGTACCATCCGGAAAAACAACCAGAATAGAGAAAACAGCAACACAAAGTGATTCCTGTAGATTTTTTCTCACCTTTTGGGGATTTAATGAACCACTTTGTTCCTTTTCTGCATCAATTTATGGTTGAAATGTCTTTAATTATGTGAAGGAAAACAAACTCTGGCAAAATGAGTAAAACTTTTTATGTTTTGTAAATATTAAGGAGGACGAATCCCCTGAACTCTACACCTGTCTGCTGATTAATCTGCCGCTGAAAATAGTTCCCTTCAAATGCATCACCTCCTCCTGATTCTGTGTTTAAAACTGAAAACAAATTCTAAGATTTAAGGAGAAGTTTCACTGGATTCGTTCCCGTCAGGAAAATGTGACAACAGGAGGAGCAGGAAGAGATTTTATTTCCACTCAGGTTTATTAGCTGTTAGAATAATAACAATAATATTCACAGTTTCTGATCAGAGTCAGAGTCCATGTTAAAGTGTCCTACAGGTGCATTGTGGGTCATGTAGTGCAGCTGTCAGTCTCTGGTTACCTCAGACTCTGCGGCGCCTCCTACAGGCCGAGAGGTTCGCTGCTGTGACGCTCTGAACTGCTGCTGGAGCTCTGAGACGCACAACCGAGAGCTGAAACCGGCCAATCACGACCCGACAGGCTGGAGGCTGAGAGGAAACAGGAAGACGGTAAAACATGATGCCCTCGTGATGAAGACAACATCTGCAGAGTTTTAGAAAACTGCACTTTGGCTGGTCTGACATTCTCCAGACTGTCCAGTTTCATTTCTATCTATGTTGTGAAACTAAATGGTTTGCCTGTCTGATGTATTGAACATTTACTCCTAAAAAACATTAGAAAGTGAATTATTTGTGGCTGTTGACAGTATTTTTCTGATTTATTGAAAGTTAAAATACGTCAACAAAATAAAACAGAATGGATTTTGAAGCTGGTTTCATCCAACATTCACATTTCTGAGGACTTTGTTAAAATTATTAAATAAATCAAATAGCATTTCCTCCACATTTAGGCAAAACAGAAAATTCCTACATTGGACAGAAAAAGGCTCAAAAAAGTCACATTTCTCCTTTTTAGCTTCTGTTCGTGTCACTTGTCTGTGTTTAGTTTGAATAAACTCAGCTGATCATGTGACTGACCTGAGCGGCTGCCCGGATTGGCTCTGGCACTGAGGGGTTGGTGAGTCTCCGGAGAAGCAGCAGGTTTGTGTGACGGTGAAGTTCTGGATTTATCTTCGGTCTTAGATGAAGCTGCAGTCAGAGAACAGGAGGATGAAC